TGTAATTCTCCTTGCATTGTCCTCAATTTAAGTTTATCTCACTTTGTAGGTCTCCATGTTTCTTCTGTGTAAGCAAGTACTGGTAAGATGCAGCTATTGCATACCTTCCTCTAGAGGGTTAGTGATAGATTACCATTCATGATTTGAGAATGCTCGCCGAATGTGATCCACCCCACTCTTATTCTTCTAGTTATTTCACCCTCATGGTTCGGCTGTGTGGCTACTATCTATCCTAAGTGTACATAATTCTTTACAACTTCCAGTGTCGCTCCACCTATTGCAAAGTGCTGTTTTCTGCCGAGACTGTTGCACATTACTTTAGTTTTGTGAAATTAATTTTCAGACATATTTTTCTGCTTTCCGCATCCAGTTCAGTAATCATGAACTGTAATTCATTCCCCAAGTTACTCATCAAGGCAACATCACAGGCGAACCTCAGGTTGATAAGGTACTCTCCATTAACTCTTATCCCTAACTCTTCCTAGTCTAGGGTCCTGAATACCTCCTCTGAACACGCGGTGAATAACATTGGAGAGATTGTGTCTCCCTGCCTTACACTCTTCTTCATCGAGATTCTGTTGCTTTCTTTATGGAGAACTATGATGGCTGTGGACCCTCTGTAGATTTTTTCAGTATATTTATAGATTCCACATCGATGCCCTGATTCCACAGCGCCTGCATGAGTGCTGATACCTCGACCAAATCAAAACACAATCTCTCCATTATCTTTCAACAGGTGTGATGTTAGCTTATCCTCACCAGTGGCTTGGCCTCTTTGCATTCCCTCTTGGGCCTTTTTTACTTCTGTCATTACTAGTTGGATGTCAGATTACTGTGGGCTATTACTGCTTCTTATGGTAGCTTGGTTGTATAAGTTGCTGTACAAATCTCTGTAGAACTTCTCTGCTTGCTCAACTATTTCATTCATATTGGTTCTGACTTTGCATACTTTGTTCCTCAATACATACATCTGATTTTTGCTAATGCACAGTTTTGCCCTAATAGCTTTACGGCTTCTTCTACTCTTTACAGCATGCTGAATTATCTCTGTTATACGTTTTCACGTTGGCTACCGTATGCCTATTGATTAACCTTGAAAGCTCCGCCCACTCTATTTTGTGTGTTCATTTGAGGCTCTCTTGGTTCAGTGTCAATTGCACGTTATATTCGAGTAAATACTGTAATTCATATATTTTTTATATTTTAGCAATGCTTCTTGATATTGGTGCTAGGCCTAAGGTTCCGTCTCTTTTCAACGAACATCATTATATTGTTCGACTTGGGATGTAATTGTGCAGTTTAAGCGTCTGGATAAATTGACCTTATTTCTAAGTTATTATTAAAATATTGGTATTAAATTGACATCACGACATAATTAATCTTAAAAACAGTGTCCATTACTGTATGCATTACAATTGACACGGCAGATTAGCTATACAACAGAAGTTTAAAAAGTGTTCGTGTTCAAATCAATACTATCCTAACAAGAATCCCACTTTTCCTTCTCATACACCGTATTTGCTCACCTAATCCTCTCACTTGCATAATGTTTTTCTGAGCAATCAATCTCTTTTCAATGAACATCATTATATTGTTCGACTTGGGGTTTAATCGTGCAGTTTAAGCATCTGGTTAAATCGGTTTCTTCTTTAGTTGTTGTTAAAATTTTGGTGTTAAGTCGACATCACTACGTCATTAATCTTGAAAACAGTGTCCATCACCGTATGTATTACAACTGACACTGCAGATTAGCAATACTACAGAATAAGTCTAAAAAGTGTTCCCATTCTAATCGATACTATCCTAACAGGAATCCCCCTTTTATTTCTCATATACCTTATTTGCTTGCGTAATCCTTGCACTGGCATAATGTTTTTCTGAGTAATTATTGCACCCCCTCAATATCACAGCAATAATGTTTGCTTTTTCCAGCCATTGATGATGTTAGCACATGCCATCTGGCATCATCCCTTAAGTGTCAAGCGTACTATTAATGCACGGAGGCTCAATCCAATCCAAGCCAAGCCAAAGTGGAATGTGTGCATTGCGGTGTGTTAGTGTACGTTGTGTCCATTTTGTGGTTACTCCATGTGGCGATACGGAAGCAACACAGCTACTTTCAAGTGGAAAGTGATTGATTATTCACTAAACAATGGCAACAGGGCTGCCGGTAGGCACTTTAAGTTTTGTGTTTGATGCTGGCGACGGCAGCACGAGAAGCTGAAAGTGTTGGGCTTTCAGTATACCTCAGATTGGAATCGATGGTGAACTTCATTTTGCCAGAAGGCATCTGCAGGCGATTCTGTGTTAGCTGGCCATCAGCTCAAGGTTTACGTTGTACCCTAACCTTTTGCAGGCTCCTGTTGAGTGTCGCCCGCAGTGCCCACAAGCTTTGTGTATAGTATTCACAGTTTCTTTTACTTGCTTGCAGTTTTGGTGTCTCAAATAAATGTTGTCTTGTGTTGAACCTATGGTTTAACTTTTATGTAAGTCTCAATTACCGTATTTTCCGGTCTATAAATCGCACTCTTGTATAAGTCGCACCCCCCTCAAAATGGCAGTTTCTCAAAAAAAAAAAAAATTGTATATAAGTCGCACCGGTGTACAAGTCGCACCTGCTCACCCGGCCATCGAGTGCCGCGTCATGAGAAAGCACTACGAAAATTCATGCTAGAGGCGGCCGTCGCAAGTTTTCAAGCTGTTAGCGCACACGCGTGCGAGCTCTTCCCAACATACATAAACACAATATTTTCAGTCTGAAGTATCTTTATTGCGATAGCTAGCAGCGTTTAATCAAATCCATCGAAGTCTTCTTCTTCCGAGTCGCTGACAAATAGCGCAGCTATTTTGGGTTGTACTCCGGGCACGTCGTCCTTCGGCACATCACTGTCATCCTCTGACTCGCTCGATTCGGACTCAACATCGGTCACACAGGGGATCAAACCGGCCTTGCGAAAGCCTGCCACAATGATCTTGTCAGATAATGAATTCCATGCTTCGCTCACCTATTTCGCCACTTCCCCTAACTCAGCGCGTCTCATGCGCCCCGTTTTAGTGAAGCTGTGTTCACCCTCCGACATCCATGATTCCCACAAACGTCGCAGAATGGCCTTAAAGATGGGATTAACCGAAATATCGAGTGGCTGAAGCATCTTGGTCATGCCGCCGGGTATAATTACAGGCATACAATTCTTCGAACGGATCTTTTTTTTTTTTTTTTGACAACGTCGGCGATATGTGCCCGCATACTATCCATCACCAGCACTCCTGGCTTCACGTGGAAGAATCCGTCGGGTCGACGTGAAAAACAGCGGTCAAGCCACACACCCATAATTTCTTCATCCATCCAACCCTTTGTGTTCGCCTGAACCACCACTGTAGAAGGGAAAATACCTTTCGGCAAGGTTTTTTTCTCAAATATAAACATGGGAGGCAGCTTGGTGCCGTCTGCGCAGCAGGCGAGCACAACGGTGAAGTGAGACTTCTCGTGGCCTGTTGTCTAACCGTGACAGTCTTTTGGCCTTTCTCGGCGACGCTTCTCCCAAGCAGGATGTCGAAGGTCAACGGCACTTCATTCATGTTGACGATGTGGCTCACGCTGATGTTGTTCTTCGCTACTTCCTCCTGCACGAATGAGCTGGAGCGTTCCAGCTGCGCCTGGAAGTCGTCAGGAAGCTTCTGACACACTGTAGTGCGGGCTCTCATCACAAGCTGATTCCGCCGCATAAAGTGGAAGCACCACGACGGACCACCATTGAATCCCACAGCGTTTGTCTCCGCTGCCACAGCCTTCGCCTTCAGGCGCAGCTGCACTGTTGATAGGCCTCTTCTTTTGGCTCTCTGTTGCAGCACCCACGTTCGCAGGCCACGCTCTAGGTCCGGCCAGCGTGCCTTGTTGCTGCGGTTGGTCTTCTTTGTAGACTTCATTGTCCGGAGGACGCTGTGGGCTTTGCGCCAATCTCGGATCATTTTTTCGGCGACATCAAATTCCCTCCCTGCAGCACAATTTCCATGTTCTTTGGCAAATTCAACTGCACGCAGCTTGAACTTGGCATCGAAACTTCGCCGACTTTGCCTTCCATGTGGAACCATGGTGCCGTTGTCAGATTAGTGAGGCCGCTGAGCCTACGCCACATGCTACGACTGGCACAAAACATGCGACGCGCGCACCAAAGCAGCAGCCGCGAGTGCGGACGGAAGTGGCGGCAAAGGAAGCGGCTCAGAAATCCAAGCTCGCCTTTTATAATTTAAAAATTTTAAAATCCCTGCACATTTTCGCCCCTCTTTGATTATTTATTTTTTGTGCTAAGCTACATCAGCTGTGTTATTTCTAGAGAGTTAATTTACAACTATTTTTATTTTCTTGTAAAATGCGGTTTCTGTGCATGGCGAAAAAAGGCACACGGCGATATCCAGGCTGCCGAAGCGGCCGAAGCCGCGGCATCAAACCCGATTTTGACTGTATATAAGTCGCACCGTTGTATAAGTCGCACCAACGAAAAATTCAGAAAAAAAACGCGGCTTATACACAGAAAAATACGGTAGTACTTCTAAAAGCCTGCAGTTAGTTGCTGGCATGAGAATACTGATTTGCAGCTACAGTGGACCCTCACTAATCAGAACCTGAAGGGACCATTAAAATATGTTCCATATAAGAGAAGTTCCGTTTACTGAGAGATAAACTAGGTTGCAGAATACAAGCACGAAACCAAACTTATCAGAAGCACTTGTTCCACTTAAGCAACAGTTACGTTTAACAGATTTTTGTTTACCAAGAGTCTACTGTACTTCATTTTCCCCTTCACTCTACGTTTTTGCGGGAAACCTCTCCCTCTTAAATTTTCACACCCCCAACTTTTCATCAATTATCTGCAAAAAAAAGTGCGAGGATTATGTGAGTGAACACAGTAAATATTTTTCAATGTGTTTGACACCTTGAGAGCGGTAATTTATTCAGTAGGGATATTTATTAATTGAAGTTTTTTGTGTTTTTTTCACAGCTGCACGATGTGACCAGTGTGCTACGTGCTGAGACATCACTTCACCTTCCTGGTGCTTTGGCAAGTGCCACATCTATGCAGGGCAGCTCGGTCCAAGCGATTGTGGTGCCTCAGGGAGCAGTGAGTGGGCTTCCTGTTTCTTAAAGTTAAATTGAAGAAGTAACATATTGGGAATACCATATTTACTCGCGTAATGAACACACTTCTTTTTTTGAAAAATTGTAGCAAAGTTGGGGGGTACGTTTATTATGCGGGGTAAGTTTTATGAAAACTTTTTCGGGAGAAGGAAAAAAATGCGGTAATGCAAAAAAAAAGTTAGGGCGCTTAGCCTTTCAAAATTTATTCACTGTACACTGTTTGAAAACAGCTTCTTTGTTGCACTTTACTCATCTTCGGTAGTTGATGGCGCTATCTTCTGCAAGCTGTCCTCCGGCGGCCACTCGTGCACGCCATAAAAACACTTTGTGACTATCTTTTCTCTCTGTAGTTTAACTGCAACAGATCTGCTTCTAATCTTGAGAGGCGTCCAAAGGCGTGCACTCACATGGGAACGAACTTACAGGTAATAAAGGGACAAATAGAGTGAAGAAAAAAGAAAGTAGGCTAAAAAACAAAGGGGGGAGGAGTCGGAGGAAGTGACTGACATCGGTTGGGCCAGGCAGTTTGGTGACCTTCGCTGGCTATGTGCTTATCAGCTGTGATGTCTCTACACTCATACCGCTCCTGAACCCCACTGTGGCGCACAGATAAGAAGGGGACCTGCTGCACACAGCTAGAAAGAAAAGCAATAGGCGTCCCGCAAAAGCTAAGTGGGGGAGGGAGCGAGCCGAGGTGGTTAAAGGGGGTCGGAAAAGTACTACAAAACGGAGCGAGCCAACGGATGAGGAGGCACCATGTGTCGGTTAGCGGGACAGCAGTGGATGAATGTAGGGGATGCTTTTATTACAGATAGAAAGAAAAGCAATATCGCACTTGCGGCAATGACTGAAGGGGGGGGGAGAAAGCGAGCCGAAGTGGTTGAGGGGGGTTGGCAAAGTAATCAAAAACGGAAGAGATCTAACGGATGAGGAGGCGCCAGGTGTTAGTTAGCGGGACTGTAGCGGATGAATGTAGGGGGTGCGATTATTACGCAGCGAAAAAAAATCCAAATTTTGATGACTGAAGTTGGGGGTGCATTTATTATGCGAGTGCATTCATTACGCGAGTAAACACTGTAATAAAGCAGCCCTAAATGCACAAGAGTTGGGCAACATAAAATCCACCTGTGCAAATACTTATATAGTACTGCACTTACTCACCTATTATCCAATTCAATCCAAATTCAAATATTATTTTCGCATTGCCCAAAGCCCAATACAGTGCAATGTTCATGCGAAAGTAGGGTATCAGAGAAAAAGCTGCATTTGTGCAGCTTGACTAGGTTCTGGTCGCCCGTACAGCAGCAGTGACAGTATGAAACATATCACTATCAAAAATATTATTGTCCACAATGTTGTAATGAAAAAACAAAAATAGCAAACAGCAAGACATATTAACAACAAAAAGAACTATATATAGTAAAAAAAAAACCTTGAACGTTACAAACTACTGCTAAAAAAACTATGCTAAAGTAACTACAGTCGGCTCCTCTTAAACGGAACTCGAAAGGGATCCATAAAACTGTTCCATTTATCTGAAGTTTCATTTAAGCAAAGTACTCTTATTTAGTGAATCGAGACCTTTATTCGAATTGCACAAACCTCACCTTACTCATGAGGATGAGTAGGCAAAAAAAAAAGGAGTGAAGAGTGGTTTGTTTGGCAAGCTTGAGTTGTTTTTTCACAAGGTATGCACCCATGCCTGACAAACTAGCTAGAAATTCTGGACAAGCCTCATGCTCAAAATAGCGCTGCAAAAGTTCAACAGCCTCTTTAGCTGATTGGTCTGGTGGCACTGCTGCACTGGCAGTATCATCACATTCATCGCTGAAAGGTTTATCCTCATCTTGACGAAAGGTATGAACATTATAATTAATTGATTTATAATCCTGCAGCGTGAAAGAGGCAGAGGGCACGACCTGACTGAATACTATCTCAATGTCCCCATCAGCAGGGCTTTCTTCTTCATCACGTACTGCTTTCTTGTGCTTGAAAGCCAGCATGGTGAAAGCATCTGTGTATTGTTGTTGCCTTCATTAGCTCCGAGGCGCCAGACAAAATGTGGATGGCTGTCAATAAATATATGCTGTAGAATTTCCCGCTGCCTGCTCTAAGCAGCATTTGATGGAGCAATTGTCTGCGGTAATGAGCTTTATTGTTCTGAATAACCCCTTGATCAATCGGATGGATCACTGTCGTTGCATTGGCTGGCAAGAATTCCAGAGTGATGGCTTGGAGTCCTTGAACCTGATTTTGGGCTGCGAAATTATGCTCGATGAAGACAACCTTCCTGCCTTGCCTCGTAAATCTTGCGTCTTCCTCCCGAAGCCAGTTTTTAAAAATAGCCATGGTCATCCATGCTCTTCCGTTCCCATGGTACGCAACGGGAAGGTGTGGAACGCCTTTGAAACAACGTGGGTGTCTTGATTCTCCTATTACCGACAGCTTCAATTGCTCATCTTCTGCCATGTTTGCACCCACGAGCACAGTGATGCCATTTTTACCGCGTTTTTCTACAGGCTTCGCCTTTGAAGGTGAGAGTCTTTGATAGAAGCGCCTTATAAAGAAGACCCATCTCGTCGACGGTGAAGACGTCTCGTGGCTCAAAGCTCATCAAAATTTCCTTAAGCCGCCCCTGCTGCCAGTCGATGCAAATGTTCCTGTTGACTGCACCATTCTCACCTGAGATTGCTTTGAAGGCTAAACCATGGCATGTTTTAAAGCGGCTGAGTCATCCGTTGCTTAGGACAAAGTTCTTAACACCCGTTTGCATGGCGATCTCTCGAGCTTTCTGCTTGAGAATCGGTCTGCTCGCTATGGGCAAATTGGAACTCTGTGTACGCTTGAACCACAGAAAAATAACTTTTTCTAGTTGTTCATACGGCGTCGTCCGCATGCATCTGCCTCCGTTTAGATGTAAACATCCCGTTCTTAACAGTGCCTTCAATCATTTCTCTGTCTTTCCAGATTCGTGACAGCGTCAATTTCGGGATGTATTTTGTCGCCACCTCCATCTTGAGCAGGCCGCTTCGATCGAGCTCTTGAAAAATTTGCAGCTTTTTTTTTTCAGGCGAGAGTGCATGGTGCGGCTGCTTCCTTTCCATCGGGCTAAAATAACACTGTGATCCACCGCACTTAGCCGCACAAATAGGCCTAACGCACAATTGACTCGTTGACTCTGCTCCCACAGCCACAAGCGAGATTGGCTACTGGATTGGCTTGTCTCAATCTCGAGGTGTTGCCATGGTTGTGAGACTATCTTTGGCATGAGCGAGTCTCTTCTATGTTTAGAGTTTGTGCCGTTTAACTGCAGGTGACCAATAAGCACTGTTTCGATTAACCGATGAATTTTACTGTAAACACCTAGAAATCCAGCCATATGAGCCCGTTTAATTTCGTTATTGAGGCATTTTTGTTTAAGCATGTTTCGTTTACTGGGAGTCCACTGTACTGCTAAAAACTACTGAGGAATCAAAAGTTGCTCCATACATTCATATGAAGACATACATTACAAAAAGAGATCCAGCAAGCTTTTGTTAGTACTGTTTAAAACATCAACATTTTTTTGGTATAGTTTATTTAGGTTGAATGTGAGTACATCATCAAGTTTTTCTTCGCCATTATGGGTACATGAGGGAAAGGAACGTGGTATGGAGCAGCAGTTCTCAGCCATGGATGTGTCGGGGACCCCTTGGGGACTGGTGGAAGTGATGGGAGACCCCCTTGCAGCAAAGGGAAAAGGGGGAGGGGGGTTACATAGGTAAATTATCACAACTGGAGCGTGAAACAGGTGCCTTTTATTGCTACAAACAAACATAGAACAAATATGCCACATAACTTCATTTTGAACACTTCAGCAATATGTGGCACATTCGCACTTAAACAGAGCAGCATATTCAGGGACATTCAACTTGTTTTGATATTTACTTTGAGTCACGGACGGACTACACTCTAAAAAATGTAAAAAAAAAAGTAGTTGAGGGTGTCATGGATCACATAAATGGCTTCGCGGACCCCCTAGGGTCTGGGGACCCCCATTTGAGAACTACTGGTATAGAGGGTGATTCCTGAAAAGATAGGAAATTTTATTTGCTCGAAGATTTGAGATTGCTTCAAATAGTTTTTCCTGATATAGCATTTTTATATGTTCTTAGTAGTTTATATTTGTATATGTTGTGAATCTTCCCAATTTTATGTTTTTGGAATAAAGGGTCTGTATGTTCCAGATACGAGGAGTTTTTTATTGCCTGCTGTGTTTTTTGTTGGACCAAGAATATTTGCTGTAAGTTTTATAATGTCGTGTTTCTCCATATTAGTGTTTAATAATACAGGTATGAGTTAAAAAGTGCCAAATATAACATTCTTTCAATGCTAACAGGAAAGTTGTGGCAATTCCGATTCACTACGCTGGCTGCTGTGTTTAATTTTGGAATCAAAGCTTTCACATGGTCATTCCAGGGCACATTTTCTGAAAAGATTACACTAAGAACCGTAATCTGTTTCTCTATTTTCATTTGAAATGGCTCAAGAGTTATAAAGTCATAAATTTTTCCCTAAAATGCCGGGGTCACAGAACAACACACATTTAGATTTCGATTAATTTTAAATAAACCTATTCAACCTAACGAATGTACAGTCGAATCTCATTAATTCAAACACACCTAATTTGAACTTCTAGTTAATTAGAACTGAGGCCGTGGTCCCATCAAAGCTATGTGTATTCCAATGGGCAAAAACACCCTTTAATTCAAACGCGCAAGCACTTGCGACGGTTAATTCGAACATACCGCACTCCGAAAATGCTCTCAGCACCACGGCCAATGCCGCAGCGGCACCTCTCAACGCTGCGCGTAAAAAAGGAAAAGAAGAAAAAGAAATATAAGGCTGCGGTGGAATGTTTGCTCTTTTCAACTGCCGATCTGCGATGCGCCTGTGCCACACTTCTTTCTTTCCTGTCCCTGCTACGTAGAGACTCTTCTTTCA